GTGGGACCCTCCTCCGGTGACCGGGGAGCAGCCGGGATCGAACCGGCGCCGCAGAGGCCGCGGGCAGCTTCGCAACCCAGCGCTCAACCACTGCGCCACCGGGGAGGCCCTAAAAGAAACTTTTTAAATGTTGCTTTTCTTGGGCCTCCCTGGTGGCGCAGCGGTTGAGCGCTGGGTTGCGAAGCTGCCCGCAGCCTCTGCAGCGCCGGTTCGATCCCCAGCTGCTCCCCGGCCACCGGAGGAGGGTCCCACATGGCGCGCAGACCTCTCCTGCCGCCCGCTGCTCCCCTCAGCAGTGTACTTCGGTCCTTCTGCCTGTTCTGCTCCCCGCTCTGGCTCTGGTGAATTCTCTCACCCTCCCGCGCTTCTGACTGTACCCAGTGCTTGTATAAAAAATAAATAAGAAATAAAAAAAAAAAATTAAAAAAAATTAAAAAAAAAATAAATAAATGTTGCTTTTCTTTTAGCAAAACAAAAGAAGTTAAGATGGAAATGTTCTTTGACAATGAACGTGGGGTGGTCTTCACAGACACTGGAGTTTTGGAATAAAGCTTGTCAGAGGCCAGAACTTAACATCCAAAGTAACTGTGGAAAAGTAAAAGGAAACCCAAGTAACAGTGATTGAGACAAACGGGGGCTTATTTTCCTCAAAAGCCAAAAGTCCAGGAATGGGCATTTGCCATCAAGGACCCACCCTTTCCCATCCTTCATCCTTAGCAAGTTGATGTTCAACCTCATGACTCATGTTCACAAAATGGCTGCCATAATCCCAGCCATTTCTTCTGTAGTTCAGGCAAGAAAAAGAGAGCAAAGGGCTCATGCCAAGTGTATCTTTCCTTTTATCTGGAAAGCAAAAAACCTTTTTGGCCTGAACTTGAGAACCTGGACACTCCAGCTGCCTCTACGTGGAAATAGGCAGGGGAGAAAAGTTGAAAATGACGGGCTAACCGGAAAGCAGTGAGTGCCAGAGAAGTGGTTTGGAAGAGAATAATCTTGTGGCTTATTGTTAAACTGGGAAGAAGAAAGAATATAGAGCCTTTGAGAGTGTGGCTTAGAATGGCAAACATTGCCACTAATAAAATCATTATATCACAGTCCTTAGGGTGAATTAAGACCGATTCAGAGGCAAAATAGCCTTGTTTTTCATCCTGAATTGGCTGTAAGCCTTAACTATTTCTAGACCTTATCCATTCTTGTCACAAAGTGAGAATATATTCCCTGCCTCACTTGGATCCTTTCCTATTTATCCAATAACGCACGCTACATACCTGCAGTGTGGCAGGCACTGTGCTAACGCTGAGGATACACAAACATGGCAGCGACCCCTTCCCGATGCCTCGAATTCCAGAAGGGAAAGGCAGCCTGAAACCGTGCTTATGGGGCACTGTCGCTTGTTGGATATGTTAAAATGATAGCTATGAAATAGAGAAGATATGTAAGCAAATGATGCTAAGTGAAGTGCAACAGAAGGGCTTTGAAAAGGGCTTTGGGACAAGGGGGAGATGACTCCTTCTGGCGTGGGACCTGCCAAGGAGATGAAATCCGAGCGAGGACTTGACGATGAAGTGGAAGATGCCGGAGACTGAAGATGAGTGAGGCCTCGGTGTGCAGAGTGGTGCAGTTATAGTCGTGGCTTCTGGAGGAGCAGAGCTGATTCAAATGCAATGAGAGCTTCAGAGGGGCTTGAGGGTTCCTGAAAGATTGAGAGGCTCATTCTGTGAGCTTTGGGGGGGTAGGAGGTGAAATGGGGCTGAAGGCTGGTGGGGTGTTCAGAGTCAGATGTGAAAACCTCAGAAGTCATGTGAAGGAGGTTGGCCTTCACTGGAATCTAGAACCAGACATGGATCTGTGGCTTAGAAAGATCATTCTGGAACCAGTAAGAAGAGGCTTTTGGAATGGAAAGAGGCTGGTAGCACACAGACTGTTCAGGAGCCCCTACCCCTCCCCATTCCAAAATTATTTAAAATTCAAAGAACAGAAAAACTCCACATCCATCCAATCGTCAATTTTAGCTTCCATATTGTCCACACACACTAACGGAGACGTATGTTTTGGTCACAACTGTAGGATGCGACCACAGCATATGGTTCCTCCATGACAGAGGGGTGGCGTCGGGCTGTGTCTTTGGATCCAGCTTTAAACAGACCCCAGGCCCCTCGCTGCTGACCCCAGGAAGGTTCCTTACTGCAGGGCCACTGCCGGCATTGCTGGTATGCACAGATGAGTGTGGCCTGCTATCCATTTTTATAAATATTTCTTATTGATAGGAGCACAATTTGAAGTCTTTTTGATAGGTTTCCATCACCTCAGACTGCAGATCAAATATGCTCCTCCACCCTGGAAGTCTCCCAGGGAACCTGCGGTCACAGTTGGCCACTGTCAGTGATAACGTGGCCAGTGCTGCTTCTGGAAAAGGCAGACCGGAGACATTTTAAAGCTTGCCCTTGCAGGTGCCCTTCATGTTTGGATCTCTCTCTCAAACTGCTCGGACAGCCCAGGGCGGCTGATTGGATGTGGGTAGGGAACAAGAGAGGCAAGAACAGTCTGAGGATCTCACAGGGCCTTGTGGGGCTCTGCTCTCAGGCCACAGGGAGAACGTGGACCCTGCTGAGTGCCTGTCCAGCTTCATCTCAGTTCCAGGAGAGCAGGAGCAGGTCTTCTGGGTCAGCCCTTGCTCTGTCGAGTGACACCCCTCTTCCCTCTGCTGCTCCATGCCCCAGCGTGATTTTGAGGCCTGGTTCTGGGATAAGTGGGCGGCCTTGGTCCTGCATGTGAATGGACGAGGTCGTGATGGTGAATGCAGACAGCGGTGGGGGAGCCGCCAGCCCCAGCCAGGCCAGAGCCGTGCGTGGGGGCTGCGCTGACCCCCTGCCCTGCCATGGCGGCCGCGGGGCAGCTCGCCTCGCCTGCATGGCTGCGGCACAGTCTGTGGAGCTTTTGTGGTCTTCGAAGGCGGGTGTGGGGATTGGACCTTCTGATGCTTCAGCTTCTCAAGTGCATGAGTGATCCTTGAAAGAACTGTTAAGAGTCTTCTTTATTTTTAATTCCATCTACTGTTTGCTGGGCGACCCACTGAATCTATTCTCCTCGTGAATGAATGAGAGACCCCGGGCCATCTTAGCCTCTGTTCCTAACGATCACCGTCCTTCTTTGAAATACAGTTGGATTTCACACTTAAAAAAACTAAAAGGCCCCTTGGCCGCTCAGGCTGCAGCGCAGCCATCACACTGCCAGGGCGGTCCTTCCTTTCCCACCTCCCCTCCCCCACCGCCCTTCCCTGGGTGGGGAAGTCACCCACTCCCGCCTTAATAAGCCCAGCTCTTCTCCCTGAGGGCCAAGGAGCGATGTTTTAGCAAACACAGATAAATCAATAAATGTGCCTTATCAGTGTTGGGATTGCTGGCAGGTGCCCTGCAGCAAACATTGCAATTTCACCATCTCTCTCTCACACACTCTCTCTCTCTCTCTCTCTCTCTCTCTCTCTCTCTCTCTCTCTCTCTCTCACACACACACACACACACACACACACACACGCACACACGCACACACGCACCATCCAAGCCTGCATTCCTATTTCTTCTTTGCTTAGATTCCCCCATCTAGCAGATCTGCATTCAAATGGAAATTGATCCAGGTGACTCCCCCAGACCCAGGTGGCAGCTGTATCTGGGAAGCAGTTTTAAATAAACCCTGTGCACTAAAGTCCTTTGTTCTAATGTTGCCTCTGACCAATGGTCTAAGCATTTTCATCCACATGGATCTTAGGAAAAGTCTCTTCACCATTTAATTATCACCATGTGGTGTCTGCTTCTAGAAAGCGGTACTGTTTTTGAAGAAGATTGACAATTTATCGAGGGAAAGGACAAGTAATAACTCAGTATATTATTTGTCTTGTTCTTTAAACTGAGGCCGGCCGGCCTTTTAGTTGCTCAGACAAGTGGCCTTGGGGAGGCCTCTCTTCCCACTTTCTGGCACCCTCTCTGTCACCTCCCCTGTATTACTATAGAAGGAATGTTTGTAGAATCCATTGCAGTCTGGGGGAGGATGGAGAGATGAGAAAATTAAAGGTAATCTTATACCTTTATGAGAAAATAAAGTATTTTAAGAGGACAAGAGAATATATGGCTATCCACGGGTTTCTTTCATGGCTGTGAGTTATGTACAGATAACTTGCTGTGCTCACCGTTTTCCCAAATACGATGAGACCTCTGGGGAAAGTCTGGCTGGCACTCTACCATTAGGGAGTTTTATGTCTCGCGGTGTCTTAGTCTGCTCAGGGCGCTCTAGCAAAATGCCACAGAACAACAGAAACTTAGTTCTCTCAGTTCAGGAGACTGAAAGCCCAAGGGCAGTTTCAGATCAGGTGGCAGACCTCGTTCCCATAGGGCAGAAGGGCCAGGGAGCTTTGAGGGGTCTCTTATAAGGGCACAGATTCCCCCCCCCCAGCAGGTCTCCACTCTGGTGTCCTCCCAGACACCCACCTCCTAACCCTGAGAATTACAGTCTCAACAATGAAGGGGGGGGTCTCATTCCATCCCGTCTGTTCTAAGTTCCACACTCAGGATTTTGTAGTACCCAACCACAGGCCAAACTTTTCTCCACAAAAGCCAGTGACAATGTCTTTCCTTCAGGGGGCTGGAACCATCCTTCCACATCAGAGTCTGAGAGTCTGTATTCTTGATCTACTGTCTTGGGGCCAGAGTTGACATTTTCACGTGCAGTGCAACCACTCACTCTTCTGACTCCCGACGCCATCCCGGGCACAATGCTAAACCATGCTACCAGCCAGCTAACGGTAGCAGCTGACGAAAGAGAAAACACTGACTTGACTAAGTTTGGAGTCTCTCTCCTCCACAACTTTCACCAGAATCCAGTAGTTCCTGGGGCTCTGCAGGTGTCAGCCGCCTTCCTCAGAAGAAAGCTCCTGAATGTTGACTAAGTGAAATTTCTCCCGTTGTTGCCCTGCGTGTGCCTCACACTGTTTTGTTCTTTTGGCCCAGAAACAGAAAAGATAGTGCTAGAGGCAGGAAATGGGTTGCCCTCCTGGAAATTCAATGACCAGCTCTTCCCCTGTGACGTGTGTGGGAAAGTGTTTGGCCGCCAGCAGACCTTGTCGCGGCACCTGTCGCTGCACACAGGTGAGTTAACCTCACCCTCGGCTTCTGCCCCCTCTACCCCGCTTCTCTGTCGCCGAGAAACTGGTTCCTCTAAGAACCTCAACAGCGAGTGGTGGAGATGCTTGTATCCTGGCTTTTCAAGCCATTTTCCGGGCTTATTCAAATAAGGCCCTGAAGGGTTTTGATTTGTATTGGAAAGACTCAAAGTTCAAGTGAGATTAATGAAAAGAGATAATAATACACATTGATGCACATCCAGGTAAACCCCCAGATTCTGGGAATCCACTGCCCTGATCTTGAGGATCCAGGGGGTGGGGTTGTTACCCCTCTTATGTGGTAGATGGGAGCAGGAGGGGAACAGAAAACCAAGTGTCCCTTCCTGTTCTGCCAGCGTTCATTACCTTTACGGTCCAACGACAGCACCGCCTACTCCTTTTTCTGTAATTTTCTCGATTAAGCAAATGAATCCAGAAGCCGCTGTGGAAACTGTGTTGAAACACTGTCAGCTTTATGAGCGGTTTCCACTAAGAAATTAATTGAAATTTTTAATTTTATGTATGCAAAATGAGCGTTTCCTCTTAGATTATATCATGCCATCCATTTTTTTTGTCTTTAATTTCATTAGTTTTTCATTTCTTGGCTGACCCGGGCCTGGAGCTCAGGGACAGTGACCGTTTCTCTTACAGCCCCATCTCGCCCCTCAGCCCCCGCCTCACCTGGCCTCCATGGTGTGTGCAGCCATAAGCGTGTGCCCGTGTGCACACCCAGCGTTCATTTAGCCTCTTAGGAGCCCCCTGACCAGGAAGGAGGGGGGGGCCTGTGGATGTCCCTGAAAACGCAGGTGGTCCCTTTGCTCTGGGTCTTTCTTTTACTTTTGAAATTAATACAGAGGGACTTGCTGGTGGGCAAAGACTATTTCCCCCCATCCGCGTCCCCCTGAACCTCAGAAAATTGACTTTGTTTATGAACGTCTGCTCGTTTGTAGTTGTCCGTTTTGTCTCATCATCCACTGTGATTCCTTGTTTCATTCAAAGATGAAAATATTTGTCTGTATTTTTCTGACTAGCTTTACTCTCCATAACTCCCTCCAGCTCCTTCCATGTTGCTGTAAACGGGACATTTCGTCTCCCTTATGGCTGAATAGAGTCCATGGTGTGGCCAGCGCCCCTCAGTGGCACTTAGCTTGCTCCAAAGTCCTCGCGACCGAAGCCCCCGTGCAGCAAACCCTGGGGTGCTCCCAAGCACACTTTAGAGATGTCCAGCTCGGGGGGTTCCTCTGACCCCATTTGAAATGAGACTTGAGCCCCTTCCTTGATACCGCAGCGCGGGCTCTTGCAAAGTGTTGGGATGGCCTCGTGGGAGAGTGGTTTCAGGTTTTTCCTATTTCTTGTCACCCCAGAGGAAAGAAAATACAAATGCCACTTGTGCCCCTATGCTGCTAAGTGCCGTGCTAACCTGAACCAGCACCTGACCGTCCACTCGGTGAAGCTGGTGAGTACGGACACCGAGGACATCGTCAGCGCCGTCACCTCCGAAGGCAGTGACGGGAAGAAGCACCCGTATTACTACAGGTGAGCAGCCGACGCCCCTGCCGGCCGCTTCCCGGACGTGCTCGCGCCTCCCTGCCCGTCTGCCAGGGCGGCCGGGCGGGGCCCACCTTCCCGGGGACATAACAGCCTGGGGTGAGCCCCTCTCTTGGCTTAGGGTGGCCTCGTAGACTCAGTGGAGAGGGAAGTGGGCTTGGAAGTGGCTTTCTGGGGTGGAACTTGAGAGAGTGGCGGGGCTCTGAGGAGTGATCGCGTTCAGTCTCCACAGCTGGGACACTCCCAGCTCTGAAGCGCCCACCTCCCTGCCTCCTGAGAATTGCAGGAGCAAAAAAGATGAGGGAAAACAGGCCTGAGAAAGCACTGCCTATTTTTCCTGGTCTGCCTTGTCCTCTCCTAGCTGGAACTTTTTTCCCTATTCACCCACGATCCATATCCTGTTTGGTTGCGCTCAAATTCCAAGCTGCCAGCTCTCTACCTAATCTTGCCCAGGAGCCAGGCCATCCGGATGGGTGGCCTCTGTCAAGAAGGTCACGGACCGGGCTTATTGCTCCAGGTGCCAGCGGGCACCCGGTCTGTGCTTTCCATCCACCCGGGAGCTTCGCAGAGCCTGCGAGAGGCCGGCCCGCCGCGCGGGGCACTCAGGTTGACCACCCGCGCCGCACCTGCTGGCCCAGAGGAGTCCGCTAGGTGATGGGCGGCATCTGGAACCTGTAATTTTTAATTAACTTTATGATTACTTAGCATCGCGATAGCATGTATGGGATTGTTACAGTGTGCTGGCACTTAATCCGTTTGGCACGGTGACCACTTCCAAAGCACCCCAGAAAGCAGGAGAGTGTTCTAGCCCCAGCCCTTTGGGTGGGGAGAAAAGGTGTGTAAAAGCCCCGTCGCTTGTTTTTCCCCCTTGGCGTGGCCACGCAGCAGCGGCCAGCCTCCACTCAGCGCTCTGCCCCCTCGCCCCTCCTCCTCTAGCTGCCACGTGTGCGGATTTGAGACCGAGCTCAATGTCCAGTTTGTCAGCCACATGTCGCTCCATGTGGACAAGGAGCAGTGGATGTTCTCCATCTGTTGCACCGCCTGCGACTTCGTCACCATGGAGGAAGCGGAGATCAAGGCTCACATCGGCACCAAACACACAGGTGACCATCCCTCGGCCCCCTCACCCTTCTGCGCTCCGGCCCCGGGCACCCAGGTGCCACCCACCTGGCAGGAGCACCCTCATCGCCATGTGGCACCAGCAGGAAGCAGGGCCACGTGTCCCTGCAGCCCCCATACCCTGGGCCAGCTCAGCCGCTGACCCGAAACACCCCGAGTTCACACATGGCGGAGAGCTGTGGAGCTGCTTGCCGGGGCCTGGGCCTGGTCGCTGTAGGGATGTGCGTGCTGGCCGGCCTTCAGCCTCCCTACAGCCCCGCAGTGTGAGGATCCTCTACAGCGAGACGCAGGCATAAGGGGGATGTGTCAGCTCTGGGCAAGGTCAACGCTAGGATGTGACGCCAGAATGGCACCCAGAGCCGCTTCTCCCGGTGCTCCCCCACCCTGCTCGCTGCTGTCTGGCAGGTTGTGCAGGAGCAGGAAGCTGATTCCCCTAAAATAGCCGAGCGTCCTCCAGGCTGTGGCCCAGACTCGACGGCACGAGTGTCCTCGTGGCGCAGGGACCAGTGACACACAAGGACTAACTCAGCAAGGACAGGCCACCGCCCCCCCACCCCACCCCACCGTGTGTTCATGGAGCTTATCAACTCCGAGCCCGGCACTGGGTAGGCCCTGCACATCCTGGGCCTTGGAGGCTCCGCGAAGGGAGCTGTCCTGAGAGTTGTGCTGACATGGGCACGGCAGAGGGGTATCTCCAGGCTGTGCTGTGTCGGCTCCTTGGTGCCAGCGGCCACAAAGGCTTGTTTTTGTCAGTAAATCGAGCGGCTATAGCTTGGAGGCCTGCAGAGAGCCGTTATGGAAGTGAGGCGGTGCTGTGTGTGGAGGTGGTCATCTGGCCCTAACCACGTTAGCACCGCGGGCAGCAGGTGAGCCGGGAAGAGCCACGCAGAGACACACTAAGTCGGCATTTCTGCGGAGCTGGTGGAAGGAAGGGCCAGTCCCGTCTTCCATCCCAAGGTTTCTCATATTTTTCTTTTTCTTTTCTTTCACTTCTCTTCTTCTAACCCCAGTCACCCCAAAGTATGCCTAAACTCAGCCCAGAACCTTCCTCCACCCTCCCACCCCACAACCTCTCCCCTCCACAAACCCTGGTTTCCAGCTCAGGGAAACCATAGAAACCAGAATGGCAAGAATCCTTAGAGTCTAATGACTTAGCATCACCTCCCTGTCATGGATGGGAACTTCGCCTCTACAAGTACAACGCGCCGCCTAATTGGCACCGGGAGCACACAAAGTGCTGGTGCCCTCTGTGGCGGGGGCCCCTCACTAGCTAGGCAGAATATTCTCATTTGCAAGGAGAGCCAAGGGTGAAATGCATTAAATACCGTGGATGCCTGGAACACGGCTGCTGTTAGGGAATGAGGTAATAACCTATTTTATAAGCCAGAGACACTTGCACTTTTTCTTTCTTTTTTAAGGGCCAGATAGTTAAGTATTTTAGGCAGTCGGGCCATACATTTCTGCCACTGCTACTCAACACTGCCTTTGGAATTCAAAAGTGGTCACAGACAACAGGCAAAGGAATGGGCATGGTGGCGGGCACTGTGCCAATAAAACTTTATTTACACAACAGGAGGCTACATTTGGCCCCAGGGTTATAGTTTGCTCACCCCTTTCATAAACTAATGGTCTCAGTGTTCTGTATTTAGTTATTTTGAGGTCTTTGATTTTAACCCAAAATATGTTGATCTGCATCTGTACATTAGTAAGGTGTCTTTTACAGAGTCATGATACAGAGCAATGTGTGTGGCAGGCCGAACACATACATGTGACACCATACACAATGCAGAACGTGTAATCTGTGCTCAGTGATGTGCTTGCTGAGACTGGGGAGCGCGTGTGAGTCACTGCTGTACCTCTGGCGCCTGCCCGGTGCCTGCACAGCATACGAGGTCTGTGCACGCTTGCCCGCCTACACACGCTTGGGTGTGCTAAGGAAGGAGATCACTCAGGCATGGCGCTGGCTTGACCTCCAGTCTGTGGCCGCCTTTATACAGTCGATGTGCAGAAAGAAGTAACTTGGAAGGCAGAGAGCACGTGTTACGTTCTATATCCTGGGCCTCCGTCTTAGACAGGGAGCATAGCAGCTCTTCTGGCCTCTCTGGGCCTCCATCCAGCCCTTGAGTCATTCCATGCACAGGAGGTGCATTTAGATTGACCTGGCCTAGAAACCGGCATCTTCTGCTTCAGTATCCTGGGGACCTGCATTGCTTTCCTGTTACCTCCGTGACACTGTCATCATCAGGATGTACTTGAATCAACAACAAATTTTTAATAGTTTCCGCAGAATCCATGGGCTTTCTCTGCCTCCTGACTAGCTGCCTCATCGAAGGCACCCTTGTAAAAAGGGGTGTGGGCCAGGGGGATCCTGAGGAACTATCCTGAGCTTAGGCGTTTTCCACAGAGAACCTCCTCACCGTCTCTCCATTCCTGGGCTCCTTGTCCCTACAGAGAACGCAAGTTCTCCGGTGCTTGTGACTTCCTCTGTGCAAATTTTACTGCAATTTTTAAATGTTGCAGGAAGTGACAATGAGGAATATGAATAGCTCATTGGGAAATATTGTCCTCAATAACTCCCCTCACACTGATGCCAAAATAAGTGCCAGATGACTCAGAATCTTTTAACAAATTGGCCCTAGGAAAGCTTGAAAAAATAGAATATTTATCAAAGTTGCAGAGTGAGAAGGTATAAGTGATACAAGTCACAAAGGAAAGAATTGAGAAATTTGACACATAAAAATTTGTTTGCAAAAGAAAATATGAGAGAAGGAAACAAAAAAAATCACTGCCTGAAAAATGTATTTATTAAATGACCAAAACACTGATGTATTTACTACAAAGAAAATTCAAATAAACTGATTAGAAGCCCATCAGGTAACTAACTGAAGAATTCACTAAGAACATGAATAGTCAGTTCATAATAAAAGAAATGAAAACTAATCACTTAACGGGAGAAAAAATGTTTAACCTCAGTAACAATCAAATTAAATTCAAGAGCGGTTAATGTTGTACCTATTAAGTTAGAAGACCTATTACAGTGATTTGTAGTGTTTTATAGTGTAGCCTTCTGTTGTCAGGTGCTGATGATATTTAGGGCTTTGGCCTGGCAACATGGTAAAACTTTTGGAACCTAATTAGGTAGTACATACCAAAGTACTTGAAAATGTGATCCAGTAATCTCTATTTTGAGCATTTATCCACAGAAATGAGGGGGAAATCAACCAATGGAGTATCAATTTTAAGTTAAAAAATATTAACTTTAATTTTAAAGAAATACTTAGAGAAAGATAATGGATTTAATACTATCATTTAAAACTATTATTTCATAATTATTTTCATAATTTTTTGAGAGCCAACCATGTGCCAGCTATATAAATCAACATGGGGAAAAGGGTTATATTTTACAAATATTACATGGTGATTTTGTAATAGAACAGCAATAATATATTCTTCTATAATGCTTTCCATGAGCCAGACATTTTTCCTAGTGCTTTCCATATAAAAATTTATGAGATAATTTAAATACCTCTTTGAAGGTCATACAGCTCTTAAGTGGCACAGGTAAGATTCAGATGCAAGGATTCTGGGTGGAAAGCCCTCGCTCAAAGCCACTAGATTACTCAGAGGCAGGGATTTTTAAAAAGAGATGCTTTCTTTTTCAAAACAGGAAAATAAGTATACACCAAAACTGTAATGGTGTTGGTTTTGAGGCAGCAAGATGGTGATTATTTATGGTTTCGATTTCTCAAGTTGGAGTGTTTTATGAAAGATTTAAGCTCCTTTGAGTTCTCCTTGCTGGGCGGTCCCAGGATCCTAGTAATGGGTGAGGCTGCACTACCTGTGCAAGGGTGTAGTTCAGGAATCTTGTAGTGCAGATGGTAAATGACTACGTGGACCAGAATGAGCCTTGGATGAAACCAGGAGGGCACCCTGGCTCCTCTCTACTGATAGAGCAAAAACAAACAAACAAACAAAAAAAACCAATGAGGACTGAGATGAGAAGCTAAGAAAGATAAGCTTAAAGGCAGATTTCCCTCTCTGTGGCCTCCAGGAGCTTGTGTATTTATAAAGGTATTGATTCAGGCAATGGTGGCCAGTGCCCTAAGGTCCAAGGTACTTGAGGCTATTCTTAAAGATGGTAATTAAAATGAATATGTCCTCATTGTAAAAGCTAATTTAAAGTAATCGCTTGCAATAATCTGTTGGTAAGAACAGCCTGAAAGGATGGATTTGGTGAAGCAATATCAGGGTGTTAGCACCTCATTGAAAATATTCTATTTGACTACAAAATTAACTAAATTGGTTAATTTTTTTATATGTATCCAAACAGGCAGGATTATTAACAAAGGGGAGAAGGGTAAAGAATGCTTGCACATACACAAGTGGGCAGAAAGAGCTGCTTCCAGTGGGACAGTTTGTTGATAGGTATGTTTAAAGGGAGGCCTCCATACTTGAGAGAAGAGCTGCTGCTGCTTTGCAAAGGAGAAGGCTGGCGATGAGGAGGAGCACCTGCCTAGGCACAGGTGGGCAGGAGGGTTGCTGCTAAATTGGTTAAAATTCAGTAAGAGACTAGTAATAATGATGTTAGCTTTCACGTGGCTTCCTGTACAGGGGCGCTGTTTCAAGGCGTAAAGCCAACCTTCCTCATGGGTCAGTGAGTGCCTGTCTGTACAGAAACTGGGTTAGTTCTGTTAGGAAGATTTTAAAAATTTTTAACTGAACTAAGAATTGTTTGCCCTGGACCTAAGTGTAGTTCTCTCAAAAAAAGAGTCTGAAGTCACTATAAAAACGAAATCTTTTCAGGCCTCCCTGGTGGTGCAGCGGTTGAGCGCTGGGCTGCGAAGCTGCCCGCAGCCTCTGCAGTGCCGGTTCGATCCCCGGCCGCTGGGAGAGGGTCCCACATGGTGCGCAGACCTCTCCTGCCGCATCTGCTGCTCCCCTCAGCAGTGTTCTTCGGTCCTTCTGCCTGCTCTGCTCCCCGCTCTGGCTCTGGTGAATTCTCTCACCCTCCCAAGCTTCTGACTGTACCCAGTGCTTGTATAAATAAATAATTAATTAATTTAAAAAACAATCTTTTCTCCTTATTCCTTGTTTAAAAAATGCTTTTTTAATTAAACACGTAATTTATGGTCGCTAGAAAATTGTGAAAAACAAATAAAACAAAGCATATAATGCTGGTGATTTCCCTCTTTATCTGTGGCCATTAGAGCTTTGCTCACTTTCAGACTTTTGTACCTATCTGTAATATATGATTTATTTTTTCATCTCCTAACATAGGAAGTTCATTTTTGGAGTTTACAATCATTAATTACTTGACTGATTGATTGGAAGAAACTGAAGCAAAATCTTGTATTTTTCACCTTAACCTAAAACTGCGGGGTTGCATTGAATTGGTTTGTGGACAAAATTAACATCTTTACAATAGTGTGTCTCCTGAGTCCTGAACAATGTAATATTTTTTTTTATCACAGTGTACCTTCAATGTTATTATGCCACTTCATATGTATTTTAAGAACCTCACAATAGCATATGTCATTTTTCTCTCCCCAGACTTTAGGTTATTGTCAAAAAAAAAAAAAAATATATATATATATATATATATATATATATATATAATTTTTGATGCCCTTAGATGTTAATGGCCTAGTGGCTTGTTTACTCCTGGCTTGGAGGCAGAGCCCAGTGTACTGATGAACGCCTTGGGTGGCGGAGTCAGGCCAACTGGAATCTCTGTCCACCTCTTCCCAGCCCTGCGACCGCAGCCAGTTTAACCTCACTGTGAAATGGGGGTGATTCCTAGGATTTTGGGAGACATTAAAATGAGATAATGCATTTAAGGCTCAAGTCAGTTCCTGGGATCTTGTAACAGTCACATTCACTCCATCATAGAGATTGTTGTTTGTTTTAATTATAATAAGACCTCAATAAACACTTGTCAAATGACTGCAAGCGCACAGCATCACCACCACAGGTCACTGGGACCTCGCCTCCTGGGTTGGGGGGGTGACTGGTGTTGCTGGAAACATCCGCTTGTGCCCCCAGCGGTGGCATCACCCTGAGACCCAATTCCATCCCCTCCCCTGTGGCTGTTGCTCTAAGGTTTTCATCTCCAAAGGTTATTTTTCTTTTTCAGGGGAAGACAGGAAGACACCCAGCGAATCAAATAGCCCCTCTTCATCATCCCTCTCAGCTCTGAGTGATTCCGCCAACAGCAAAGACGATTCAGACAGTTCCCAGAAAAACAAGACTGGGAACAACCTGCTGGTCATCTCTGTGGTGCCTGGGAGCCAGCCCTCCCTGAACAGCGAGGAGAAGCCAGAGAAAGGTAAAGGAGCTGTGGGTGTGCCTGCCCCACCCTCGCCACTCCAGGGGGTAATCCAACCTTGAAAATAAGTCCTTGAGAGGAGTGATATTAGGCAAAATGCCATTAGACCTAGGAACAGCATCATATATAGGAGCTAAAATTTGCATTTCCCTTTCACTTGATTTGCATCCGAATATGGGGTGGAAGGATGGGGGCTATGGCACCCTAACTGTGTGTTTAACGCCTTTTAGCACAGAGATTCAGGGAACAGCACCTGGAAGGGTTCAGCTGGGGAGGTGGGAGAAGAGAACCTCTCCACCCTCCTGCCCTCTGCCCCCTGCACCTGTACACCCAGCTTCGGTCCTTCCAGGGTTCGAATGCGTTTTTTGCAACTTTGTCTGCAAGACGAAGAATATGTTTGAGCGCCATCTGCAGATACACCTCATCACCCGGATGTTTGAGTGTGACGTGTGCCACAAGTTCATGAAGACCCCCGAACAGCTGCTGGAGCATAAGAAATGCCACACTGTCCCCACCGGTGGGCTCAAGTAAGGAAAGCAAGTACAGAACCTTTTACTGTGTTGTTATTAAGTGCCCTTCCCCCACCCCTACCCCGTCCCCTCCCCTGAAGGTCGTGGGGTCCTGGAGAGGGGAAGTTTGGCATGAGAGGAGTTAGCCAGTTGGATAGGCATTAGACCTGCCCCGCATGCTCAACAGAGGTCAGCAAGAGATGCACTTCACAGAGGGCGTGTCGGAGCAGCTGGGCACACACGGTAACTCGTCCTAGCTGCTGGAGTTTTGTTCAAACTGGATGTTAATGGACTCAGGGGTTAGTGCCCCAAGAACACAGGGTTACACTGTCACTTCAGTTACTGCCGATTTTTTAGATGATTTGCCACAAATCTTTTAAGCAAGCATTTCAACCACCCATCGCTACCCTGCCCTCAAAAATTGGAACTGCCCCAGGTTGGCAGGAGGCAACATTTTACATGCACAGAGCATGTGTGTGCCTCGTGTCTTCTGCAAACATGCCTGCCACCTGCCCAGGAACTGGAATTGGGATCTCCCTGGTTTAGACGTCATGAGATCTGACATTTCCAGTCACGTGTTATTCATGGATCCCCAAAGACCTGGATAGCGAGTGTCATCCTTAACCAATATTTGCAAGAAGCTCTCCGGTCAGAGGCGAGCCCAGTAGGTTATTACTCAGCACACGGTGTATCTGGCTGGATCATAGGCGCCAAGGAGCACGCAAGGAGTGAAACGTAATTTCCACCCTCAGGGAACTGATGTCCTGGCACTACCAGAATTCAGTCCTCCTCTGTGAGTCTGAGACCAGAATCACTGCTGGTCTGCTCCAGAGAAAGACGCGATGTGAACGGGCTCAGAAAGACACAATTGTCAAGGCCTAATGACCCGTTTTTAGCTGAAATGATCATGTAATTAAAAGAGGGAAACATTACATTTTGCTTATTACCAGGAAAAAAAAAAAAAACCCTTTTGTTTTAGAACATTTTTGTGCGTGTAACTCAACTTGCAGAGAGGCAGCAGACTCCAGGATGGGCAAGGTGGAGAGACCCAGAAAGGCCCAGAAGTGCTGGGACCACGTGGGGTTGGCTCCACGGGGCTCTGTCTGGCCAGGGGCGCCCTCCCCAAAAGCTGATGGGAACAGGAGTCGGGGAGCAGCGCCTATTTTGTCACAATCCATTTTGTTCCACTTGGGGTGGGGGAGCGGCTAGCTGGGAGGGGGGAGGGGGTACCATGGGTTGGGGGAGGGCGGATTCCAAACAACCCATAAACGGGGCATTCCCAGCAACTGCTCATTTGGGGATTCGACTGGGTTTGTGCCCACTGACCCTTTCTAATTATTTGTGAATTCTTATTTTTTTTGAAAAAAAAGTTTTTAAGAGCCATTTTCTGTGGTTGGCCTAGCGTCATCGCCCTTCCCAGTAGCCCAGTCACACCCATTAACTGCTGCCCAGTCCACTTGTGGCTTTGCCATTAGCCTTTCGTGGGGACCGAAGGAGTCCGGAGCCTCGACCCCTGGGGGAGAATGCCCAGGGAACGCTGATGTTTTCCGGTACAGACACTTCCCATGCGGTGCTAACAGTCCCCTGTGTAATAGTTTATATTCTAGGATGGCCAAGTAGAAGAATACTTGGGAAAAATTGATAATGCCTTCTGGCTATATACAGTGAGTCTTTGTTTTGTTTTGTTTTGTTTTCCCTTTGCCATATCAGAGAATTCATTTGCCTGAGAGCGTGTCTTTACGATAAATCACGGGCGCACGGACCACCCTTAGCACTTTGCCTGAGCAGCGAAAGAAAGATTGAGCTGTGGGTCACAGAAATGTCCTTAACGTGAAACAGACCGCCGCTGTCTAAATTGCTTTTCTGTGATGGAACTGCTTGTACTCTATATCCTGTTCGTAATGCAGATCAAATAAGATTATACTATTATTTTTCTTTTGCCGTAGCTCAGGACAGTGGTGAGTTTCAGACTCCTCTAGGTAAGGCCCAGCTTGGCGTAGGGGTTGTGTGTGCACCTGACCTGGGAATGGGCTTTATATTTCTCTCGTGTGCACTCTTCTGTGAGCTGAGGGCCCAGGGCTAACGGCGAGCTTGGCGCTGAGGAGCAGTGCACGGTGCACTGGGTCGTGGTGGGCTCTGCTGAACACCTCTCCAAACCCTCAGGGGACACTCACGCCCGCCCCAGGTGCCGGGCCAGCGCTGAGGCAGCCACTTCTGCATTTGCATCCTTTTTGTCAAGAGAGCACACACGCCACAGCCCTCAGAGCAGCCACTGACTGCAGCCTGGCGGCCTCTCCCGGGAAGCTGCGCAGACTTGTAAACACGTCCTCATGGCTCCTCCTGCCCCTCCGCACAGCCTGGAGGCGGGGGAGTGCGGCCTCTCTGCACAGAACGAGAGCCGAGCCACGAGGGGCCCCTCTGCCCCAGGGTAGATCCAGTTAGAGCCCGGCCAGGCGACGGAGCTGGGGCTGACCTGCCCCCATGACACGCGGAGGCCAGTCCAGTCTTGCACGGGCACCTCCCGGGCACTGCAGAGTCACGGGCCTGCCCGCGAGCATTTACCATCCAGTCGGATTATTTCTGTGATGGGATCATGTACAAATATCATCGTCAAGCTCCCGAGAGACGTGTCGCCCTCCCTCCTTGTCCCTGGCTGGCGGCTGGTGGGTGGGCCTTCTTCTCCCGCCCCTGTCCCGGCCCTCCGCCCCCTTCCCTGCTAGATTGGGAGCCAGGCCAGGAGACGGGTGAGGGGCCATCGCTCTGAACAGACACTCACACACTGACACACACACAGGCCTTCTCATCCTAACCCCCCTTAATCAGCACGATCTGACCCCTGTGACTTTCTGTTTGCTGGAGGTAGCTCTCCCCTTATAAGCTGTTCTTTAAAACTCTTAGCCTTTCTGCGTGTGCTTGGTGTGGTGCATGAAAAGTCAATTCTTTGTGTTGCTCCCAGCTAGAGGGGAGGTCAGGAGGTTTAGACCTCAGCTGTGTCGGGGGGCTGGGAACGGGGAGGGCTCCCAGGGGTTGGTGGGGTGTCCTGGGGAGTCCTCCCCTTTCTGTGCTCGCCTTCCGAGGGCTGGTGTCCTGCTGTTGCAGCCAGGAGACCCAGGGGAGGCTGAGCGTGCCTCCGGGGGGGGCGCCTCCCTAGTGGGGACTGCTCTGTCAGCAGCAAGAGCAAGGAGGGTCCCCTTCCCCCCCCAGAGAGGCGGCAGGGCCGGGCTGGGCAGGGGGCAGGACAGGCTGGAGAGGAGGGTGAAGGCGGGAGCTGCGGAAACGCGGGCTGAGCCCCTTCTGGTTGCTTCCCCTCGGCAGGTGCCCATTCTGCATTTATTCCACCAACCGCCCCGCTGCCATGGAGTGCCACCTCAAGACCCACTACAAGATGGAGTACAAGTGCCGGATCTGCCAGACGGTGAAGGCCAACCAGCTGGAGCTGGAGACGCACACCCGGGAGCATCGCCTGGGCAACCACTACAAGTGCGACCAGTGCGGCTACCTGTCCAAGACGGCCAACAAGCTCATCGAGCACGTGCGGGTCCACACCGGGGAGCGGCCCTTCCACTGTGACCAGTGCAGCTACAGCTGCAAGCGCAAGGACAATCTCAACCTGCACAAGAAGCTGAAGCACGCCCCCCGCCAGACCTTCAGCTGCGAAGAGTGCCTGTTCAAGACCACCCACCCCTTCGTCTTCAGCCGCCACGTCAAAAAGCACCAGAGCGGGGACGGTCCTGAGGAGGACAAGAAGGGCCCGTGTCCCGCCCCCCAGGACCCGGCCGTCCCCGGGGCCCCGCTTCTGGTGGTCGGGAGCCCCCGGAATCTCTTGTCTCCCCTGTCGGTCATGTCCGCCTCCCAGGCCCTGCAGACCGTGGCCCTGACCGCCGCGCACGGCAGCGGCGGCTCCGAGCCCAACCTGGCACTCAAGGCCTTGGCCTTCGACGGCTCCCCTTTGCGCTTCGACAAATTCCGGAACTCGGATTTTGCCCATCTCATTCCCTTGACAATGTTGTACCCCAAGAACCACTTGGATCTCACATTCCACCCTCCCCGACCTCAGACTGCGCCTCCCAGCATCCCCTCGCCCAAACACTCCTTCCTCGCCTATCTCGGGCTAAGAGAAAGAGCAGAGACTGTCTGAGGGCAGCCGGGCTCTGTACCAAAAACAGACAGACAGGAAGAAACAAAAACCCACAAAACTTAAACACAACCCCAGCAGGTGTATGTTGCTGCAAAACCCGCAGGCCCCGTCCGGGGTCTGAACACGTGTACTGTAGATCTTTAGCAAGGAATAGAGAATTGGCCTGTGTGTTACCTACCGCATTGACCTGAAAGCTGCTTTCTCCAGTCTTCAGAGAGGTGACCTGCCGCATACTTCTACCTTCAGAGGCATGCCTCCCACCCCCAGCCCTTCGCCGTACTTTTCTCTGAAAAAAAAAAAAAAAAAAGGAATTTTGTCTTGTTAAAAACCCTAAGAGAGTGTCCTTAATAGCAATCAGCACTTGTAAGCTTATCTACTGGTGCATTTTGTTTTCTGTTGGGTGAATGGGGTGTGAGGACGTCTGGATTCTGAAAGCTAAGACTGTGTGTCCCGTGCCATTTTGATTGCACATTCTTTGTACTGGATTCTTTAACCGCCATGAACGTTCTCCCCCTGGGTGGTTCGTCCACTGCAGCCGCTGTCCCTAAGCTCCTCCATCACCTCTCCCTCTCTATGTTATGGCTACGGAGTGGTAGGGCCTGGTGCTCAGTCCCGGAAGGAATGGTAGGCTCTACAGTGCTGCTGGAGATTTCCGCCAGGGCCCCGGAGACCCTGCACGCCCGTCTTCTGTGCTGACGAAGGTGGGAGGAAGAGCCCCGTCTGGAAGAAATATCTTGCAGCACTGCAGCTGACATCACAAAACAGAGTGTGTTTTGTGTGTGCCCCCGGCCTACAACGGTTGCGGGCCACATACACAGTGCGTCATTTTTTTAAGGGCAGATTATATATATATACATATATATATACACATATATATGTATATATATGATGTATTAATTCAGTGGTTACCATTTGTTTGCAGGAAAAAAATAATTGTATGAGTGAAAAATTTTATGGTTGAGAAATCCAGCCAAGGAGATTAAAAGGGGTTTGGATACACTCTGGGTATAAATGCTCAGACTAAAAAAAAAAAAAAAAAAAAAAGAAACAGCAGTTTTGCACAGTGCTTTGGTCTTGCACTAGTTTTTGTTTCTCATCTGCAGAAGAAAAAGAAAGTAAAATAAAAGGAAGAAAAATGTACCTTTTATATGGAACAAGGAAACTGTATGTTTGAAAATCTAGTCACAACCTCTTTGACATTTTACGGCCCAACAAGAAGGTGCTGTCGGTCAGGTGCAGTTACGCCCCAGAAGTCCCCCCTGTGCGTGCAGATGGCCCGGCTACAGCGGTGCTCACCGCGGTATTCATGACTCTCTATTCCATTTTGTTAACGCCTGGTAGATGTAACCTGCTAGGAGCCGACTTTATACTTATTTAAAAGCTCTTATTTTGTGGTCATTAAAATGGCAACTGTGTGCAGCACTTTATTGCAGCAAGAAGCAGATGTGAATTGGTGGCCCAGCCCTTTGCTAAACCCTGAAAGGTAAAGGGTGGTTTAAAGAAAGAAAAGGAACGGAATCTTTGGCTGAATAGGATCTTTGCTTGTATTTTTAAGGCAACAGAATTTTCAGTATGGAACAGGCCAAAAGAGCAGGAAGAAATGTGCTTTGTATAATAATGGGAAGTTTGGAATATAAAAGTTTATATATTATTTATCTATTGAAGAACTGGTGTATAGGAGAAATGCTTTCTTACTGCGTTGCTGTTTTCCATCAGGTGTTATCTAGGGTTGGGATTTTTTTTTCCATCCGTCTCACCAGGGGAAAGAAAGGCATCCCTCATTTTCTTCCTGTAGTCAGTTCGTTCTACTGAGAGCCCCTTGGGATGGGTACAGTTCTGCAGGGAGCCAAGAGACTGTGCTGTCTGTCCACACCACGGTCCACCTCCAGGCCCCTTTCTCCCCCCAGACCTAGCAGGTGTGCTGCACACTTCCCTCCGCCGCAGTGGCAAACCTGTTTACACTAAGGAGATGTCCCCGGGGTGGGGAGGCTGAGCCAGCTAGGGGGACCTCCCACATCCTCGGTCACTCTCCAGCAGAGACATTCGTTGGCCGAAACATCATTCGACCTCTCCATGTCAAAGCCTCGGTCAAAGACACTAGGCAGTATGGACAATACACTCCAAGAAGATGGGGCTGATGGGCGGGTTGGTTTTTTTTTTTCAAGTCATGTCTTTATCCCCGTATGATGGAGAATGTGCCACTTGGCTAGTAATGTGCTTTCAAAATTTCAAGTTCCGTGGCGACGGCCGAGGGCCACCGGTGATCCTGCAGAGGCTGGCAGGCAAGGCAAGTCATGCGTAAGCACCAGCAGGTTCAAAACCTGAAGGGGTGACCCTGCCCATTAGGACCGCAGATGTTACAGCATGCCCCTTGTGCAATATGAGGTCCTAAGCTGAAACTTTCAAAGTTGAGAGGGTGTTGGAAGGAGCCGTTTTGTTGCTCAAATGCCATGCATTTCACCGCTTGCCACTGAACTTGTATTTGAATGACTTAGTTATGCTTAATGTAATTGGGCAACTTTTTTAGCACTTTGGAAAGAGTCATCCATCTTTCTGGTAAATTATAAAAGTTTTCTGAGTGAGAAAAGGTGTGTTTGGAGTTTGTTTGACTTTTTATATTATTATTATTATTATTGTTGTTATTAATAAAGAAAAAAATCTACAGCATTTTTCAGACTCCACCGAGATAATATGTACCCCCTGGATTTGGTTTGCAGTTTGATACTCAGGGAAGGATGTATTCCAGAGATATCCTTTCCGTGTAAAACACTAACGTCTTCAAGAAATTCACCTGCCAACTCACTTCAATGCTGTTTTCACTATGCATTCTCAAAGAAAGCGAGCTTATTTTCCATCTAGTACTGCAATTAGAGTTCTCAGCACTTTCTTCCTTTTTTTTTTTTTAACTCCTCATATTATGTTCAGCTGGCCACCCTGTCAAGGTTTGTGTACATTACTGAAAATTTGTATTGTATAAAGCTTTTTTGCATTACAAGGCTGTACAGGGTCATTTTGACAGTAACTGCATCTTATGTTGCATTGCCAATTTCTAGTGTATCCAGTTTGGAAGTATAATATACTCTAATTAAAAAAAAAGGTTGGCTATATTCTCGTTTCTTTTTCTTTCTTGGTTGCCATCCTTGACTGGGTAGTCTCAAGGTTTTGTTTGTCTGCCTTTGTTCTTTTTTTTTTCTACTGTTTAGTGTGTTTTAAATAGGTTTAGGAAATGTCCACCGCTAGTTGTAACTACTGCAAAACCCAAGTTTTGAACAAGCATGGTTATAATTAATGCCAACTGTTACTATGTAAGCCAGTAGGCTCACTCCTTACTGAAATTAGTGATGTTTCAAGGTGTTCAACAGCCTTACCCTCTCCTGCTTATCATCCTTTTATTGACTCTACTGGAAGTGGAGTGGGGAGGACAGATGAATAATTGCATTTATCTTTTATCTTTTTTTTTCTTTTAAGGTATTTTTTTTTATGATTTATTTATTTATACAAGCACTGGGTACAGTCAGAAGCGCAGGAGGGTGAGAGAATCCACCAGAGCCAGAGCGGGGAGCAGAACAGGCAGACCGACCAAGTACACTGCTGAGGGGAGCAGCAGGCGCAACAGGAGAGGTCTGTGCGCCATGTGGGGCCCTCACCAGCGGCTGGGGATTGAACCTGCACTGCAGAGGCTGCAGGCAGCTTTGCAGCCCAGCGCCCAACCCCTGCGCCACCAGGGGAGGCCCTAATTGCATTTAACTTCATGAAGTTTGGCAACTCAGATGTTAAGGGGGGAGGGAGAATGGTATGTTTTTCAATCTAAATAATTATATGAATGCAAGGAGAGTTCCCCATTCAAGCGAAGGGACAATGAAACACTGTGTGTTCAAACTAGAATTTTCTGCATCCATTAGAGAGCCTCCTGTGACTCTGGTAGTTGATGAAAATACATAAAGGTGCAGAAGAGACTGTTTTGAGTGGTTCCCCACTGCATGCACCCACATACAATCTCCCTTGCTTGTTTTAAGAAATGATGAACCATTTTAACTTAAAAGGATCAAATTTACTTTTCCCAAAATGAGATTACATAGAAGCCACTGTGAACGTGGCCCAGGCACAAATCACACAGTTTTTCCCTTCACTTTTTCATCTGATAGCTAGTTTTTAAAAGGTGATTGAATCAAGTTCTCTCAGCTAATTCAAGTGCTAATCTTGTTGCGGAATGGCTGCTACTTACTGAAAATACTCTAACTAGTCGGCTGCCCTGCTTTGTGCTCGCTCAACAGACAGAAGTGGGTCTTATTTGGGCTTTTTTTTTTTTTTTTTTTCTTAAAACCCCACACCAACCTTGCATTTTCTTTGTGGTTGAAAAGAGCCAGAAATACTAAGAAGATAATCACCAGCTGGGAAGCTGATTCCTCTGGGAGGGAGCCCCCCTGACCCCTTGCTGAAAAGACATCCCCCTCCATCTTCCCTGCATGTGGGCCTGGCCTCGCAGTCTGCAATGCCCCCCACTTGAATTTGATCCAAGATCATATATACTATTCCTACTGTCATGTTGAATAAATATATTTTCAGCTAAGACTCAAGGCCATGTTTGTTATCATGTGGCTCCACTTGGCCACTGACCATTTCTCCGAGCTGCACGTGGCCACAGGGGAGCAAAGAGGAATGCCAAGGGTGATAAGCACACATCTCTCCTCACCCAAGGCCTGGCATTAGAATTCTCACCTGCCCAAGTTCACGTGGGGTTTGTAATTCTGTAGTCAGATCTGTAAAGGGAGGAAATGGAATCCTGCTGGTATTGGTGGCAACAGCAAAGGGGGACAGGAAAATTGCTGGATCCCTTGGGAGTCCTTGCCGATAGAGTTAAACAGCAGTTAATTGGGCCCTAGTTTTCAATGGCGTTACAGGGTGAGAGCAGAGAATCTACCTCAATCCATCCTTCAAAATTAATTTTGCCTACATCAGCCTCTATAAGTGACTTTCCACCCTGTCGAGTGAGAATAGCTACATTATACTGAAAGTGTTTTCCATCCCTGAGACG